AGGCTTGTGGCCGGTGGGTGCTGCTTGGCAAGGTGAGCACCAGCTGCCTTTCCTTCCCCAGCCTATCCAAACGCTGCTGTGGTTTGAGGGATAGTTCTTGAAAACAAAACCAAACCTCAAACAAAGGGCCCGACTTTCATAATCACACATGCAAGAATGCATCTGCAGTTGCTTAATTGCTACATGCAATTACCCTCCAAATTAGAGGGCAATTACCCCAATTCAGTGTACAATCTCTGTCATTTTATATTATAAAATTACATGTACAAATAGCTATATAGGGACATAACCAAGTGTTTGCAAATAACTTCAGTTGCATACACAGTTTTGTGTATAAAGCCCGGTGGTTTTGACAGTTAGGCAAACAGGCTGTCTGGGAAATCACTCTGTGTTTGTGCAGACTATTTTGACACATCCCATCTTCTCGTATATACTTTCATTTTAGTTTTTAAAAAGGGGACAGGCAGAGATAAAGAGCTGAGATTTATAGCAGCCTTCAGCCTTGGGGAAGATATTCCCTGCGTGTCTAATTATGAGCTAGGAGCTCAGCAACTGCTAACACCTAGACCCAGAGCTGCTACCTTGGATCCTGGCTATAATTTAGCAGATGTCGGATAATGACACAGCCCCGCTGATCTGTTGGCAGCTCCACGTTCAGAGAGCAGAGTTTGAGTCTCGGATCAACAGCAAGGTCCCAAGGCTGGAGTCCTGGGGTTCAAGAGGACCCTTTTTAATGAGCTCCCTCTGTGCTTGCAGCTCCCATGTGCAGGAGTGGTTGCACATTGCTTCAATCCTCTTCCCATCATTACCTGCCTTGATGGGTGCTGGTCTTATTCAGAAAAACCCTTGTGATGCTGCACTCTTTTGAAGCAGACTTGGACCCAAGGGAACCAACCTCACAACAGCTTCTCAGGGCTGCATTCAAGAAGTTGGTGGTGGGTGGCTTCCCTCTGTCATCATAATGTTGGGATGCTGAGTGTTGTTTTGGTTTGGTGGTACATCATCATCCCCACTCCGCAGCATCCCTAAAGCTCCTCCTTCATGCAATGGGATGTCAGAAGCACAGCTGCTATAGTGAAGCCTTAATTCTTCCTTGATTTCAGGAAGGATTTAGAATCATAGAATATCCTGAATTGGAAGGGACCCATAAAGATCAAGTCCACCTCCTGACTCCACACAGGATCACAAAGAAATCAGACTACTTGAGACTTTATTCCTGAAATGAGTGAGTCATGGGATTAGAACCAGTTGTTGCTGCTGTGCATGGAGGGACGCCCAGCCTGCTCCAAGCCAACCCTTGTTGCATTTATTCATTAGATGTGTGTGAGTGGAAGGTCAAAAATGCTTCCCATGCCCGTTTTGAGGCAATCCCATCCAGTTCTTCTTGTAGACCTCTTGGGGCGCTGCTGTAATGGATACAGATGTCCCCATGACCCAGTGAGGGAAGAGGAGGCAAGCAGAGCCCTGTTCTTTCCTGCTGAGACCATTTGAGCAGAAGCAGAAGAGTTTCCTGCAGCTCTGGGCACCCAGCAGACTGGGGATGCTCACCAAAAGATGCACTAAAAATATCAGAAAACAGGTAGGAAACACACAGGCTCTTCAAGTGTCTCCTGAAGGCAAGCATCCTTGGGAGTGGTGTTAAGGAAAACAGACATGTACTAATCATCCAAAACTTTTGCTTGCTTTTGTTCAACTTTGATGGTGGGGAAAAAACTGTGAAAGGCCGTTTTCTTGGCGCAGTTGCTGTTTGCAGAGTTGGGTTTTTGTGTGTTTGCAAGCAGATCTTACTCTTAATCTGAAACTTGTTCCAGAAAAGACAACTGTCTTGGGGGAGGGGAGCCTGGGCTGAGCTCAGGATTTAGCAGGCTGGAATTTCTTTTTTCAAAGCACAGTGGAAACCTCAATTCTCCCCGCAGCTTTGTGCATTGCATCAGCCCTCATCTCAGGTGAAGAAAGCAGAGACTGCCTGATATTGCTTGAGGTTACAGACAGAGGTAGCTGAGCCGGGATTAGATCTTGGGGCTGCTTCCCAGGCAAACGGTTCATTAAATCCCCTCCTTTCTGGGAGATTTGGTTGGGAGAGGGGAGAGGAAATTTCCATCTAGTGCTGAAGCAGGATTTGGTTTGCGCTGATGGAAATGATATTAGAAAATGTGCTTCGAGGAATGAACCAGAAGGTGATAGTGAGTGTTAGCTATCAGCTGGAAGCCATGTTAAGTATTACATTGAAGCTAAGATATTTGCTTATTCCTTTATAAATAAAAAGATACCACCTCCTCACGCACACAAGACAATGCTCCCTTGCTTTCCTGCTGATTTGACTCTTATTTAGCAAAAACCCCTAATCTGCCCTAACAAAGCATGGTGTAAGTATCAGCAGAACAAATATCAAGGCTTTAACAAGGAGTGTCAATATTGACACTGTTCCGTGTTGAGGGATATTGGTAGGTTGTTTTTATTATAGTAAGCAACTTGTCAGAGGAAAACTCAGATGGAGCTTTGCGAGCGCCGATAAAACCTGCAGGTGCTATTGAAATTGAGCTCTTGTTCGTGTGTGCTTTGAATATAATTTCCAGTTTCTGAAACCAGCTTTATGACTTGCTCCTACCCCTCCTCCCTTCCAGTCTCTCCCACGATGCAGATGAAACATTCTTCCTGAAAAAGAGTTATTGAGGAATCAAACACCTCTTCAAAAGGCAAAGAGATCTTTCTAGTCTGATGTCTTTGCTCCATACCATAAGCTACCCATCACTGAGGCCCAGTGTTGGCAGCTGGAGCAGGTTGGGCACATCACCCCCAGCCCGTGCAGTAACTGCGATGGCAGTTCTTGTGATGCTCCTGCTCTGTGCTGGGTCATCTTTCCTCAAGTGACAGGACATGAGGAAGGGGTTCCAAGTTGCACCAAGGGAGGTTTAGATTGGATATCAGGAAGAATTTTGTCATGGAGAGGGTGAGCAGGCATTGGAATGGGCTGCCCAGGGAAGAGGTGGAGTCTCCATCCCTGGAAGTACATAAGAGGTGTGTGGACTTGGTGCGAAGGGACATAATTAAGTGGTAGGACTCAGTAGCTTAGGTTGGTGGTTGGACTTGGTGGTCTTGAAGGTGTTTTCAACTTAAAGGATCCCGTGACGATGCACACTCTTTACTAGCTGCCTCTAGAGAGCTAAAAACTGGTGCAGTAGATGGGACTGCATGCAGTAGCTTGAGTGCATTCTCCAGCTCAAATGGCATCTCCTTGGTGCTTTACACACTTCTGATCCCTGCAAAATTGAAAGCTGATTCTGGGAACAGTTTGGAGATGTAGCAGCTTCAGAAGGTGCAGACAGGTCAGGCTTCCTCCCTGTTCACTTAGAACAAGTCCTTTAGTCCTCATGCTTCAGCTCTTGGGATTAGAGTAGTGCTTCCTTCTCTGGCTGGGTGTTGTGAGTACACTTAAATTGGTGGTAGATGAGTGTTCAGATAGGGCAACTGATGCTACAGGGAGCCAGGATCTGGTGCCCAGACCTAGGCAGAGTGTTCTCTCTGCTGGCTGTAAGCCACTCATTGCTTAGTGTTTCCTGAAGGCCAAACTGAATCACCTTTTAGAGACCTTTCAGAAGTGCCTTATTTGCTGTGTTGAGCAGTAATCACAGACAAGTTTGCATTTAGATTGTCCAGACATGGCCCTGACTGCTTTAATCTCAACATTAGACCTTGCATACCTTTGGAGAAAGCACAGTCAAGAAAGCACTACAAAATTATCCTGCCAGTGAAGTACTGTGTTTTGCAGAGGTCTGGCTTTTCTGAGGGCTCAGCACTTTCATTTTGCCATCCTGATGGAGCCATTCAAGCTTTTTACCCACTCAACACATTCCATTGAGATACTTATGTTTTCTGTGACTGCAATCCATCAATATAATGGCCAGCTCTGACCTCGCCTTGGGTTGGGCAATCCCAAGGAGAGATGGCTGCAGGGCATCTCAGGATTCACAAAGTCTTGAACTTCCTGGTGATGTTTCAGGGTATCCTATTCCAACTCATGTGTTTGGTTCCCTTCCTTTCATTTTAAACAAATCATCAAAATGTCACAGAGCAGAGTATTTCCAAATGAAGAGAGAATTTCTAAGACTTAAGACAAAATATTTCACATGGAGATACCAGTGTTCCCTTGCTTGATTACTTTTTCAAGCTGATAATACCTATAGTTGTGTTTGTGCTGTGCGGTCTGGTGGCCATGAAGGAATTCCTTCACCTGGGGGACCTGAAGAACTTCTTGGTAAAAAGTTAGTATGAGGAAAAGGTTATGGAGAGTCCCTGGTTTGTGGTGGCCAAAGGTCCATTTGGTGTGGCTGCAGTTGTTCAGCAAATAGAGTTGCTTTTGCTTCAGATGTTTCTTGGGTAGAAAGGGGCACGAGACACGGCAACCACAACATAAAATGTGGCATTTAGCAGCACCTTACCAAAATAAGCTTGAAACGGGATCTAAGTGAGATGAGGCTGGTCTGGCTCTCATCTGCAGGTTGAATATTATCTATTCCCTGTTACGTCCTATCCGCATAATAAACTGTTTATTTTTAGACAGTGCTTCCTGAAATAGTGATGGAGAGGGAGTGTGTAACTGCATTGTGTGACAGCCCAGCAAGCAGCACGCTGGGAGATTGTTGTTCCTAAACAGGATTTCTGTGGTTGAAAAACACCAGGAATGGGTTATCTTGTACCCTCCTGTGCTACGGTTGTGTGCGTTGCTTGGGCCAGAGGAGACCTGTGGGTCTCTGTTGGGCTCTTGGCTTTTCCACGAGCTCCTGATGTGAACTAAGGCAAACCTGATCTCTGTTCTTCACATCCACTGGCAAAGGAAAACACCCTGTGCTGAAGCTTACATCTGTGATATGCTTATTTTATCCATGGTAGAGAGCGATACTAACGCCTGCATCACCCAAAGCCAAGCCCCATGGAGCTGTGCCTCCTGAGATCTGTTAATGATGTTGCTTGAACGTACTTAGGCTTTGAATTTGCTTCAGGACCAGGTCACGGGGAGGCAGAGACGAGGGAATGTATTTACTACAACGCCAACTGGGAGCTGGAGAAGACCAACCAGAGCGGCGTGGAGCGCTGCGAGGGGGAGAAGGACAAGCGGCTCCACTGCTATGCCTCCTGGAGAAACAACTCGGGATCCATCGAGCTGGTGAAGAAAGGCTGCTGGTTAGATGACTTCAACTGTTACGACAGGTAATAGCCTAACTGGTTTATTTGAACGCAGGTTTAATCGTTCCTCTAAGTGCAAAGGCTCATGGTTTTTGCATGGAGGAAAAGAACGCGAGTCCAAGTCAATTGGCCCATTCATCCCCAGTAATTACCTCTGTTGCTAATGCAGCTCTCAAAATTGTCACATTACTTTCTAAATAAAAGCTGCAAAATGCAGTTTTAGTTTTGTTGTGTTTTTTTCCATTTTTTTTTTTCCTTTAGCAAGGCTTTGATAATTCTGGCATGCTTTGAAAAACGTGTCCTGTACCATCAAATGAAGACCAATATGTTCTTCCAAGAGCATTTGGCGATACAAAGGAAAACTTGGAATCATTTGGAGCTCTCTAGAAAAAAAAAAAAAAGAAAAAAACAAGGATATCTGGGGGCATTTAGAGGTTGAGATATTCTGGCATTTGTGATGTTGCAAAAAGTTTTGCTGTTTTTCAGCTGAGTTGAGACGAGCTGGGAGAAAGAGTGAGGCAGTCAAAGCAAAGCGCGTGTTTGAGTGTTGTTGCCTGTAGTGAGCTGAGAAGTAAAGAAGCTTTGTAGTGCGAGGGCTCCAGCCTCATTAAATAGCTGGGAGAATAAACCAGTCTTTTCTCGCTCCCCTTGATGCAGTTCTACAGAGGGGAAATAACTGCACTATAGAAAATGGCCCTCTGAAGTTTTGCAGTTCAAAAGGACAATGCTTGGTGGTTCTGGGCTCAGGCAGGGGTTTCTGCTAAAAGAAAAACAAAACAACAAACACCAACCAACCAAAACCCAGCCCCATCAGTAAGGATTAATAGAACGTAACATTCAAAGGTTTACCTTTGTGTCACACCAATATAAGATGCTGTCACCTTTTTCCAATCACAGCATCCTTCCCAATCAGTCAGTCACCGCTGCACACTCTGATTCCAGAAGTTTTTAGGACATCAAGTCTTAAGCCACAGGGCTTAAGCTGAAACCAGCTTTGTCCGAAGGCTGGAAGCTTCCCTTAGTCATTGTGCACCAGCTCTGGTTCTGTGTCTGTTGGCTTGTCCTGGCTGAGCAGTTCCTCCTCTTCCTTCTCTTATTAGCGTTGAGGTTACTTTCCCACCACACCTATTCCCTTGCCAGTTGTATGCGCTCTATATATAGTGAAATTTTTATTCTTTCCTGATAAATCAATCCTTCTTGGCCTATTAGTCATCTTAACACCGATCCTTCTGAGAACAGAAGGTCACTCCAGTTCCCTACTTACAAGCAGAAGTGTTTACTGTAAACAGATTTCTCCTTTCATTGCCTGCTCTCATACACAGTGACACTTGTATTGTCACTGAGTGTCTCTGCACGGGGATGTAGTGCTTCTTAATCTTTGTCATAACGTGTTGCTCTGTTACAATGATGCAAAGTTTCCAGGGCTCCTCACCAGCCTTTTCACAACTGCGAGGTTGAGCATCCATTATCCCACAGCCTGATTCTTCGAAGTCACAGTTCAGGGCAGAGCAAAAAGATCTGAGAATTAGGAAACGGTGCGAGTGTTGAAAGCAGCATTTGAATTAAAGGTTAGCTTTAATTAAATAAAGGCAGTTTAAAATGAGTCTCTTCTTTCTTTCTTTCTTTTTTTTTTTTTTTTTCCCCTTGAGTGCCCTCTTCAGTCTTTCATGCAGGTAGCGTATCTCGAGAAGGTAAAAATGGTTTGAAAGTTGATTTTTGCAGTCAGCAGTGTTGTGTTGATGCCTTTTATCCAGAGTACCACTGTATGGGATGCTGAGCTCCTTGGGTGATGCTCCTGGAGCTGTCAGGACATGGCCCTGCCGTAACTCTGCTGGGTTGAGCGCATCGGCAGCACTCGGTGTGATGTGCCAACTGCTCCATCTTTGTCACAGAAAGGTGACACGTGCAGGAATGCAACAGTTGGGATGCTGAGGGTAATGACTCCTTCCTCTGCTGTCTATCTTAAGGTAACAAGAACGTGGCGTGTGAGCGTTGAAGGCTACAGGGAGAAAGGACTGTTTAAAAATCAACCATGCGCTGTTCGCTTATTTACACAGCAGAGGTTGTGCTCACGTTCCCTTCAAGACCACATGAACTGCTCCAAAACCTGCACTCTGCTACCATGGAATAATGTGTCTTTCTCTCCCACCGCATCATTTTTAATATTTGCTAAGTATAACGTGTCATACGTACCTGGATGGCTGCCCTGAGCACACACCAACTGGGATAATGAACTGCAGATGCGGAGCAGGCTGTTTTCATTCATTAGCTTGATTTCTGAACCGACAGATTTAGCAAAGGATGTCTTTGCTATTGAAGATTCTGATACTGATGTGGTGAAATCTGAAGGGCTTGTTATCTGATTTCAGGGAAAAGCATCTGGAAGCGTTGCTTAACTTGTTGAAATATCTTTGTCCATTTGAATGACTCAAATAGCTGCTTTCTTCTTTGAAATTGAAGCAGAAAAAGCCCTCCAAGCCCACCAAGTGCTTCCATGAGCCATTTTATCTAAAGCTGCTTTTTTCCCCCCCCAAAAAAGGTCCTGACAGGGACCCTGCGCGATGATTGGAGAGAGAGCCCTTTCCATTCTTCTCGTGGCATTATGTCAGTGATAGCACAGAAAGGGAGGCTTGGCGTAGGTTCATAAATGAGTAATAATGTCAAACACATATGATTGTTTTGCTGCTTCCTCCGAGTGGTTGAAGGAAGGAAGTCATGCATATAATTTAGCCGGTCTTCAGGAAATAGTTTGATACAGCTCTCTGCGGAGGGAACAAAATAACTAAAAGCAGAGGGCAACCTGGCAAAAAGTGGCAGGGAAGGGAAGCAGATATTTAAGAAGTAGAAAGAAATTTCTGCCAGGGCACTGAAGATATCACTGCATCGATCTGTGGGAGAGGGAGGACGTGTGGAAGTACAGAGGGAAACCTCAGTGCTAAGAGGGCTACCTGGAGAACGGGCAAATGAGAAACAGGAGAGCTGCAGCCTGAATTCCTTTCAGGCTTTTGTGCGGGTATGGGATTCTTTTAAAGGAGAAGGAGGTGGCACTGCAGATTAAACTCAGAAGGAAAAATAAAAACCAAAACAAAAAGCCCTGCAGCTTCCCACCTGTTTTCGGCAGTCAGAGACGCTGCTGGTGACTGATACCCTTGTAATATGTAGAGTTAGGGAGCTGGGGATGCTTCTGCCTGTGAGAGCAGCCTTCATGCAGCCCTCTTTGTATGTGCTTTATAGCATCAGCTTTACAGCATGCCTAAATTCCCTTCACCCTCGGCAGCATACGTGCAGGCTGCAGGAACAACACAGCTCAGGGAACGAGGCATCTCTTCATTGCTTTTCTGTTTCTCATTCACTTAGCGGAGCCTGCTGTTATTTATTACTTGCCATCTAATGCTTTCAGTACATATGGAAGCATTTGTTTCCTTTATGGCCTTTTTGAGGGTCCTTGCTATTCACTGGGGTATTTGAGTGCCAAGTTTCCTGCCAGCAGAGCCTGTGGAGCTGTGCTGGTGGAAGGGGACACGAGAAGACAATCTGGGGGAAGCTCTGCATTTGCTCCCAAACATGAGTTGACTGACGTTGTTTTTTCTCTCCCCTTTGCTGCTGTGTGTGATGCAGGCAGGAGTGCGTAGCTACAGAAGAAAACCCTCAAGTGTTTTTCTGCTGCTGCGAGGGCAACTACTGCAATGAGAAATTTACCCACTTGCCTGAAGTAACCGGCCCAGAAGGTGAGGTGTGCTGTGGATGATGAATTGTGAATTACAAACGTGTTGATGGGGCTTTCTTCATCTTGACCTGATTCAGGTTGCTGGATGTTGATCACAAACACATATCTGAGAGCACACATGTGGTCAGTTAGTTACAAGCCCAAATACTGGGGTTCCTTAAGAACAGTTTTTTAATGTCATTTCGCTTTGGTTGAAGTGTATTGTACCACCATCTCATGTGTCAGCAGAGAGGATTCGGTTCCCTTGGTTTGCAGTAGGCTCTTAGCAAAAGCAAGCATGCAAGGTAGAGAGCAGTGTGACTCACACAAGGTAGATCAAGACACAAATTCATAAAGGCATTCTGACACCTTCAATAATTTTCATTTCACAAACACCCGAAACCTTGTTTTATTGGCTAAGATGCAGCATTTTTTTGGTCTGGGAATTAAAAGGAAATGGGTATTTTTGGATATATTTCAAGAAATAAATAGTCACAGCAGGTTCTTCTTTTGAGGCTAATAGAAAAATGATTATTCCTTTTGCTGTAGGCTCACAAAGGTATCTTTCAATGAAAATTACTAAAGCAGGTGTATCTTTTCTTAGCATGGTTTCTTTTACTATCAACTACCTGCATATACTGAGATATCCCCACAGACCATTATCAGATTTTCCTAGGCTTTCCTGTTAGGTTTTTAATTGTTTACATGATTTTTATTATCTCCTGTTATTAACGTACCCCTAGCAACCTAGTAGCAAATATTCTTTCTCTCACAGTTTTTTGTTTTATTTGGCAAGTCTTGCTATTTTTTCCTTCCCTGTCTCCAACATAGCAACATGGCTCCATTTAGTATTCCCATTGTTTGTATCTCAACTGCACTGATGTAATTTGGAACAAGAGCTACTGTGGGAATAGTGCATTTGATTGTGGCTCTTGCAGCATTTTGCTAAAAACTGACATCTTGTCAATCACTGTACAAGGCAAAGCAGCACTGAGAGGGGTTTCGTGTTTGCTTAATATCTTCAGAAGGCTTAAGAGAAGGAAATTTTATGTCTTTACGTATCTCAGAAAAAATGCCCATCTTAAATAAAGATCAGAGGAGAGCTCAATCCAAAGAGTACGATTTGGACCACTGGATCATTCGTAACAGCAACGTGGAAAAGAGTAAATGATGGAGTCTTATAAATTCTGCTGGATGCAGTGAGACATACCACTGTGCCTTACAGACTCCGGAGTAGAAGAAAGGAGGGGTGTTTAATTATATTTGGACAAGTAGCTGATGGTGTGTTTGCACGTCTAAGAAGTCCTTCCCCTCGTTTACCCTTTTCTTTCCTTACAGTCATATATGAGCCACCACCACCAACGCCCTCCCTGCTTAACATCCTGGTGTACTCTCTGCTGCCCATTGCTGTCCTGTCAGTGGCCATCCTCTTGGCCTTCTGGATGTATCGGCACCGCAAGCCTCCCTACGGGCACGTTGACATCAATGAGGTGAGGAAGAAAGCTCTGGGTTCTCCAAGTTGATCCCCTCTGTTTGGACTTTATGGAGAAGTTTATCACAGAATTATGAGGCAGTATGGTTTGGAAATGATGCTAAAGATCATCTACTTGCCATAGACAGAGACTTCCACTAGACTGCGTTGCCTAAAGCCTCATCCAACCTGACCTTGAGAAGATCCATAGCCTCTCTGGGCAGCCTGTCCCACTGCCTCACCAAACCCCTAAGGATAAATTCCTTTACATTTAACGTTTTCCAAGTGGCCTAACTGTTCTTCTCCATCTTTTTCAAGTCAGCACTACAGTAGGCCCCATGGCAGTGCTGTGAGGCTGTTGGGTTTTGACCAGGTTATCATGATTTCCAAAATTCCAAAGGGATGAGTTACACAACCCTGCTTGGTGATTATTCTTTCCTCAAAACTGTCAAACCCATTGCCTAATTTCAGCTAACTTTGCAGAGGAGTAGAAATTGTAGAGATAAGTAAGTTCCTACCAGTTTTATGGGGTGAGAGGAGATGTTTTCCCTGTTGAAGCTCAGCTTTTATGAGCCATCAGAGAATGCATGCAGAAGGTCATCCTCACAGCCCAGAGCCATAGAGAACTGGTCTTTGCTGGCTCTGCTGTGCCCTGAACCTTCTGATCTCTTAAAAGGAGACCAGCAGCTACCTCTGCCTTCCTCCTCCACCTTGTAGGGACCATACTGTGAGCTTTGCAAATTGCAAGCAGATAGGAGAGAGCTCCAGAATCAGGTGTAGGTGGGACTTAAGTTGTTCTCCCATTCAAATGCGGAGTTTAAACAGATGCTATCTTTATTACCCTGATAGACCTGTTTACTGCCCATTGCTAGGGCTATGGGAAGCATCCTAGATGAAGTGCAAAGCAGCTGGAGGTTTTAGGTTGTTTGCTGTTGAATCGCAAAGATGAAAAAGTTCCTACTTTTGGCAGGAGGCAGCCTTGAGGTCATCAATGTTTTATAGCCTAAAATAGCTCTTGCTTTGAAAACAGTAGAAAGTTCAGGTTTTGCCAGAGGATGACAGGCAGAAGTTTGACACACAAAGTGACACTTGAAGGGATAGACTGTTATATATGTTCCATACAAATACCTCACAAAGCAAAATAGGGAATTTTGTGCTGCTCTGGCTGTGAACAGCACATCAGTAATTTGTAATAAACAGTATGGTGACCTTGTTCCCTTCCTTGAGGGATATGCAGAGCACACTCAGATTTTGGTTTGGATTTTGGTTTGTCCGGCATGGAGCCAGGAGCTGGACTTGGTGATCTTGTTGGTCTCACCCAACTTGGGATATTCTATAATCCTTTGCACATTTTGCCACACACCACCTCTCCATTCCCCTACAAAGACAGGCTGAGGGCTTGTTCAGCCTGGAGAAGAGAAGGCTGCAAAGTGACTTCATTGCAGCCTTCCAGTACCTAAAAGGAGCCTATAAACAGGAGGGAAGTCATTATCTACAAGTGTAGATAATGGCAGGACAAGGGAAGATGGTTTGAAGTTGAAGGGGGGAAGATTAAGTCAGATTTCATGGGGAAATTCTTTACAGAGAGAGTGGTGAGGTGCTGGAACAGCTGCCCAGAGAGGCTGTAGATGCCCCATCCCTGGAGGTGTTCAAGATCAGGTTGGATGGGGCCCTGGGCAGCCTGGTCTAGCATTAAATATGGAAGTTGGCAGGGGGGTTGGAGCTTGATGATCCTTGAGGTCCCTTTCAACCCAAGTCATTCTGGGATTCTGTGATTCCCCTGCTTTGTTTTACGGCCCTGCTACAGCTTGTGACTGTTGTTTTCCTGTGCAGGACCCCGGCCCACCACCTCCTTCTCCCCTGGTTGGCCTAAAACCTCTACAGCTCCTGGAGATCAAAGCCAGGGGACGCTTCGGCTGCGTGTGGAAGGCTCAGCTGATGAATGACTACGTAGCAGTGAAAATCTTCCCAATTCAGGTGAGAAGGGCATCACCCTCGAGCTCACCCACAGGTCTGCCGTGCCAGTGTTGAGATGCTCTGAGTACCCGTGGAGGTGTTGTCACTACCATTACAAAGGCTGGAGGAAATAGTTCAAGGACCTTGCCTATACTTTCCCCTGTGATATCTCATTACCAAATGCTTCCTGAAGTAGTTGTTGCAAGAAGGGCAAACAAGCACATTTTGAATCTTCAAGTTCTTAACACTACTGCAAAAGTCCATGTTGTCAGAAGTTGGACTGCAGTGCTTGAAGTGCACATGAAGGACCAAATGCTTAGCTTTGTGTGTCCTATCCAGGAAGGCTGTAAACCCAGACCCCAAGCTAGCAAACAGTTTGTAGCTTACAGAGACACAACCCCAGTGCTGTGCAAGTTCACTGCACTGCAGTGTGTCTGTCAGCTCACTTCTTCCACTTCAGGAAACCTTTGAATGCTCCTGGCTTGACTATTAGGAATTGCAAATAGAATGAGTAGAGCAATCAAAAGTCAAATGAAAGAGGAATGACTGAAACGTCTTTGTGCTCTTTCGCTGTCTCCTTATTCATTAATTTTTTTCTCCCTGTATTTGTTGTCATAGCATTGCTAAAGGAGATTTGCACATCTTCTGTCCATGCCAGCTGTGACCTACTAGTAAATATTCAATACACTCTAGATTGGATTTGCAGTCGTAACAATTACAGCTACAATGCAGAGCTGGGGGCTGTGTGCACAGGCTTTATTCCTTACTGCTTTCTTAGAAAATCTTGAGAAGTCTTATTTCTCAGTGAGGTTGGGTTTGGATCCCACCCCCCTGCCCAAACATGAGAATTTTGGAGAAGGGTGATTGGGAACAATGACTTCCATTCTTCTTCCAGCATCTACCCTGTAGGAAAATAGCCTCATTTCAAAGGGGTGCATCACATCCTAATGCTGAGGGATGTATTGAGAGGGACATGAGCAGCTCTGACTGGGCTGAAGAAGCTGTTTGCTTTAAAGGGAAGTGTGATCTTCGATGGTATGTTTCTCTCTGCTTTAGGATAAGCAATCTTGGCAGAGTGAGAGGGAGATTTTCAATACTCCTGGCATGAAGCATGAAAACCTTTTGCAATTTATCGCAGCAGAGAAAAGAGGGACAAACCTAGAGACAGAGCTCTGGCTGATCACAGCGTTCCATGACAAGGTAACGTATCGTTGTGCATTCATTTGGGGATAGCACAGGGGTGGCTGGCCTTGAAGTAGTGTTTGGTGGCTGATATTCTCCCAGAAGCTCCCCCAGTTGGTCTCCCCTTCTGCAAAGGCCCTTCCTTTAGCCTTCAAGACTTTCCTGCACAAACATCAGATTAAGAAAGGTGGGACCTGAGGAGAGGGAGGTGGCACAATAGGCTGCACACAGCTCACGTATGCAGTGTCTGCCATCTCATAACACGTGGAGATGAGCCAGGGAGAGCTGGGGGTTGGGGCCATTGCATTCCTGACCCAGCAATTGCAGACAGGCTCTGTGTTTGCTTTTGAACCTGAGGGCATACCTCCTCTTTCTTGAATTGCTTTAGTTATCAAACATGACTAACACTTAAAATAAAACAAACACACACAAACCAAGGGTTGAGCCAGCAGCATTATCCTTCTGTTTAATCCAAGGTCTTCTGAGTCAATCATTTCCACCACCAGTTGATACGATGCAACATCTTCTATTGCATGCAGATGTTTTCTCTTTCCTAGCCTGTATGACTTGTTCTTTTTGCAATTACTTTGTCCCTTCCTTCATCAATCTCTCAAGCAGATGAATAGATTTGGGACACATTTTAGATATCCATATACTTTCCGTGCTTTCATGAGCCAGGGACTCGTGAATGCTTCTGGATTTTATTTCTTCTTCTTCTTTTCTTTTTTTTTAACATTTGCTAGTTTTATTTTTTGCCTGTTAAATGAAGGTTCACATTTCTCAGGCACTCATTAAAACTAAATGAAACCGATGAGTCTGCACATCTGTCACATAGCAATGGCTGTGATTAAGAACGTACGATGTCCTGTTTCTCAGGGCTCTCTCACGGATTATCTGAAGGGCAATATCATCAGCTGGAACGAGCTCTGCCATGTTGCAGAAACCATGGCCCGTGGCTTGTCTTATCTCCATGAGGACGTCCCGTGGTGCAAGGGTGAAGGACACAAACCTGCTATAGCACACAGGTACAGCCTCTTTCATTAATGCTTTTCAGGTGCTGTGTTCAGATGTTTGTGACCTTGTTGAAATGATGCTGTTGAATAGAGGAGGAGATTGTGGTTTGGGGAAGTAAATGCCTTTTATCCCAGCAAATCCTATGCTAAGACAGGAGGTTTTTTTACCCACATCTCAAATGGGAAAGAGCTAGTAATCAGCGTCTTGTCTGCAAAATAGTAAGTGTGGCTGGTGGTGGTTTGTGGCACACATCTGAAGGGTGGGGGCTTCTCTCTGCCCTCACCTTGTCTTGATATATGGTGAAAAGGAGCCTGGTTGCTGCAGAACCTCCCTTGGAAGGGGCTGTGCTTCATAAATCACATCATAGAACCATAGAAAGACTTCGGCTGGAAAGAACCTTTAAGATCATCCAGTTCCATCCCCACTGCCATGGACAGGGTTGCCACCCACCAGATCAGGGCCCAGGGCCCCATCCAACCTGGCCTTGAGCACCACCAGGGAGGGGGCATCCACAGCTTCTTTGGGCGACCTGACAACTTCTCTGGGCAACCAGCACTTGTATTTATGGAGCGTATTCTTTCCTATGTATGTACGACTGATAACTCCTCTTCATGTCTTCCCACAGTTTCTGAACGTGGGTTCCAATAGAGAAAATGCAGAAAATAGCTGTTGTTTGTTTTTGTGGTAGTTCTGTGGTGCCAGGGTGCTGATGGGAGAAAGCAGGGGAAGGAGCTGTGCATCTGAGACCTCCTGGCTCACATGTGGGGACAGCAGAATCCCAGAAGGAGCAACAAAACTATCTTCACTGCAACAGTGCTTCTTGTAGCCCTCTGTAACCCTGCATCCTTCTCCTGCCTTAGCTGAACCATTGCTATTTGCTGGTGGCACGGCAGGAGGGGAGTTTTCCAGAAGGGATTTGCGTGGGTTGTGTGGCAGCGTGCGTAATCCGCTGCTCTTCATTGAGGAGGGACTTAAACCCCGTGCCCAGCTGCAGCAATTTGCATCTGATCAAGTGGGGCCATCTTCCTATAAGGCGAGATAATCTCTGTTTTTGCAAGGGTGGCCCTGCACACGCTCCCCCCCAAGATCTTGAGGTTGGTGGGAGCTGCGGGCTGGTGAAAGCCTGCAGCTGCCTCTGTGCTGCTCCTGGGGCTGACCCTGTGCCCCTGACATTTGTTCCCCACGAAATAAAGGCAGCGGTGTATGCAGGAAAATTCCTGAGGGTGGGGAGTGGTGAAAAGCTGCAGGAAGGCTTTAAAGCAACAGATCGTGCTCGTTAGTGTCCCCATCCATTTAGCAAATGACAAAAGATCGAGAATGTGCTGCTAGGGTGAGCTGAGTCCATACCTACAGAAAGGGGATTTCAGGACATAGCAGATTTCCCTTGGATTACCCCACTCTTTTGCATTAAAAAAAAAAAAAAAAAAAGCCAAAGCCAAAAGCACAACATACTCTTTTATAGCCAGAGATATCATTGAATGGGTTAATAAAATATGTGCAAAGCTGCTGGAAGGCCAGGTGGGACTCCCTGAGTCGCAGCTCTGCAGACTTCGAGCAAACTCATAGGACTGTGGTCCCGGCACAGCAGGAGGTTATGGGATCGCTCCTCGGTGCTAAAGTGCCCCCACGTGGAAGCTGGAAATAAGATCTCTAGTGTCAAAATGGGGTTAATGCACAAACTACTTGTTGTTTGCTCGCCCCTTGATTGAAGCATGACGCTGAAAAGGATATTTTCTCATTTTCAGGGCACTTTCCTTTATCAGTGGCTGTTTTAGGAACCTTTCTAACGAGTGATGTTGTTAGTGGGAACTGTTGTGGGTGTGGGTTGGATCAAGGCTTTCTCCCATTGCTTGAGACATTTGCGTTGAGATCACGCTTGCCAGCTTCGGGTGGTTGTGGAAGGAAGGAAAACAGGGAAAAATGGGGAAATTTGTAGATATGAAGTTCGAAATTTGGAAAAAAAAGTCTTCTCAGAAAGAGTGGTGATGCACTGGCACAGCCTGCCCAAGGAGGTGATGGAGTGGAACACCAGGAAGGTCTTCCAGACACATGTAGATGTGGCACATGTAGATGAGGGTCAACGGGCATGGTGGGGTTGGGCTGATGGACTTGATGATCATAGTGGTCTTTTCCAGACTTACTGATTCTATGTTTCTATGATGGGAAAAATAGAAGCACAAAGGGAAATCGCCACATTCTGTGTCAATATGTAAATAACTGCAGTGCAGGTAGACTGGAGCAGTAAGCGCTCATGCAATGATTCTGGCTTGCATTTCACTTCACCTGGGAAAGGTGTGGTTCAGGCAGTGCCGTGTCATTACTGTGAGGTCCTGGCTGAGCCACAGCTTTGCAAGAATCTCATGTGCAATCTGTACCATCCTGGAGGGTGTAATCCCCTAATGCCGATCGAGCAAAGTCGTTTATCCGTGTCATTAGGTGATGGCTGCTTTCTGAGCCTGTGGGGAAACTGCTATAGCATGGAAGCTGTCAGTCTCTAAGATAGCATGTATTAGGTCATGCATACGTAGTGGTGTTTTTATGTGCAACAGAGATCTGCAAATGTTTTACAGGCTCTAAAAGGCCAGCTGTTTCCCTAGAAACCCCATGTCCCTTGGAGGCAGTTTGCTAGGGTTCCCTTCACAGCTGTAAGGGGGAATTACCCATTTCCCCTACGCTAAGCCCCAAGCCACAACTGCCCATCGTGCCACGTTTAGCTCACTGTGAGCAAATCCTTTCTTCTGATGTTGTAAGCTAAGAATGAGGCTTGGGTGACATGAGATGACTTTAGCACATGGTGCTTTGCACTGGTGTGCTGGTATCCAAGGCCACAGCCAGCAGTCCTTCTCTCTGGTCCAGCAGTTTCTCTCTTCCCAAGGAATTTTGACAGGTCGCTCTGGTGCAGAACAATTGTATCTGCCCTCGTTAATTATTTTATGCAGGCCTGCAATGTCCTGCAATCAGCAGGGTCACTGAGTGAATTGATGATAGGGAAATTATAATGCTGAGCATACAGGACAATTGCCATCTGCTGTCTAAGGTCTGTAATTTAATTATATTACCAAACATTCCTTTTCAGATGAAAATGCAGGAAGCCTCGGGAACAAGGCTGGCCTAGTCAGGCAACTCAGTGGGATCCTATCCCCCCTCACTGGCTCCTGCAGGCTCACTTGAGCTGCCCTGAAATGGCAGTGCTGTAGCACAGGGCTGACACGAATGTCCCTTTATAGTCATCTTCAAGCTCAGAACCACCATCTCCACTTGCAGAGGAATAATTCTGAAAAATTCTGATCTTGGCAGCTCATCTCAGTGTGGGTTTACCCCTTCCCCTGCTTGCTTTCCAGCTCAGGGGAGATCGATCCAGCAATTAAAACATAAGTATAATAGATGACAATGGTAAAAGTCTGCAGAAGCAGTGACCAGAGTGTCACTGGCACCTGATGATTTCTAGGAAGATGTCATAGAATCATAGAATGGCTTGGGTTGGAAGGGACCTCAAGGATCTCCAACCCCACTGCCACATGCAGGGCCACCAACCTCCCCATTTAATACCAGACCAGGCTGCCCAGGGCCCCATCCAACCTGGCCCTGAACACCTCCAGGGATGAGGCATCCACAACCTCTCTGGGCAGCTGTTCCAGCACCTCACCACTCTCTCTGTAAAGAATTTCCCCCTGATATCCAACTTAAATCTTCCCTCCTTCAACTTCAAACCATTTTCCCTTGTCCTGCCATTATCTACCCTTGTAAAGAGTTGACATCCCTCACAGAATCACAAAATGGCCAGGGTTGGAAGGGACCTCAAGGACCATGAATCTCCAACCCCTCTGCCACAGGCAGGGCCACTGACCTCCCCTCCTGTTTGTAGGCTCTTTTTAGGTACTGGAAGGCTGCAATGAGGTCACTTCACAGCCTTTTCTTCTCCAGGCTGAAGAAGTCCAACTCCCTCAGCCTGTATTTGTAGGAGAGATGCTCCAGCCCAGTCTGTGCTTAGTAGAGGCATTTGGATCATGCTTTTAGTCTTGTTTTAACTTTGGGTGAGCCCCAAGCAGTCTGACAGTTGGATTTGGTAATCTTTGTAGGTCTCTTCCAATGGGCTGTATATTAATCCCATTTGGAATGGATTGGGATATAGGTATATATAGGCCTTTTTTCTTTTTTTTTTTTTTTTTTTTTTTAAGCATGCGCTTCTTTCGAGACCTTTTGGTGGGGATGGGAGGGATACAGAGTTATCCAGTAGTGTGAAATCTTACTCAGAGTGCAGGTGAGAAAGTCACTGATGATCCATCTTATCATCTGTATTTTGTTTTGAGAGTAATTTACCCAGGACTTCTGCTGTCTCTTTGTCCCTCCTGAGGCTCTACTTTCTCTCCCTCCTTTGCCCTTTTGCCATCCCTGTGTGCTGTTCTCTGAGAGAGGGGCAGCTCGACAGGATTGGAATGCATTCCACTGGTGGGCAGGGCTTGAGGATGCTTGGGGTTATGTGCCTGAAGTGCAGTGTGAGCTCCTGCAGAGAGCAGGAGCACAGACCTTCACATCACACATGGCTCCTAACCCAGCAGCACAGGATTGTCCACTTGCATCTTACAGACACCAACAGCAGGAAGCAGCTGGAGAAGGAAAGAAAAAAAGAGCAGATCCACCCAGAGCTGTTAGACCTAGAGATTACAGCGTGGTGCGTTGCATTCTGATTCAGCCCCGTGCCATAATAACCGCTCCCAAACCTGCCTCTTATCTCTCTGTAGGGACTTCAAGAGTAAAAACGTCTTGCTGAAGAACGACTTAACGGCAGTGCTAGCTGATTTTGGCCTTGCTGTACGGTTTGAACCTGGAAAACCTCCAGGGGACACTCATGGACAGGTAATCACTATCTTTCAAAATCAGGTTGTAAAAAGTCAGGCCAGCCACAGCTCCACCTGTCTGGGAGTGGTTTGTACAGGTGCAGACTGGAGGCTGAGAGATCACCTTCATTGCAGGTTAGCTCCGTATAGCTTTCCTCATTTTTGCTCCCTTTCTTTAGATTTTTCTAGCATTTTCCATGCTTTTTCACATCTAGGCTTCCCCTTGTCCCCACCTCACCAGGTAATAGCAAAATCATGATGAGAAATCCCTAAAGAAAAGCTTTAAAAGACATTTCAGTTCCCATGTTTAAAAAAGTGTTTTCTGCCACATTCTGCTCTTCCTTCTCTACATCACAGCCTACAGTTCTGCCATCTACATCACCATGGGTATCCAAGGAGTTCTGTATGGCTTTTCAGCTAGAATGAATGCACCTAGATGTGCACGATGGTGAGGAGAGGGCATCCTTTCCAAACCGGGGCTGAGTGCACTTCACAGGGTCTGTGCTTTACCATTCCTGTGGATGTAGGAGGTTGGTTTTATCCAGGGCACTCATGCCTATACTTTTTCCTACCGCTTCTGAATACATCGATTTTACTCTTCTTTTATATATTTTTAGTGAAAGGGGCTTGAACTTTCCATGACTTCAATAACCGAGTCTGCCTTGACCTCAAGGTGTCGTGCCTGTCTCCAAGGGCAGTGTTTCCTCATGCAGCGTGTGCTGCTGGAGCGAGATGCAGTGGGATGCAGAGGATTTCATCTGCACTCACCATGCCTCGCTGCATCTGAATCAGACCTATAGCACACACTGAATGTATATCACACACGTAGTCATCGTGCACTTTGGCTTTTTCCTTCAGGTAGCTTATGTAGACTGAAGTGAACCTAACACAAATCAATGTTAGAAGGCACAGCCCACTTTTGGTTGTTTTCCAAGCGAGGTGCAAATTTAGCAAAAGTAGCCTACAGGCTAATGAAGGCAGCTGTCATTCATCTCTGACCAACAGAGGCTGACGGGTCCAACTGGAATTTAACTCGAGCTGTTTCTTCCGCTGCAGGTGGGAACAAGGAGGTATATGGCTCCTGAAGTGTTAGAGGGAGCAATCAACTTCCAACGGGACGCTTTCCTGAGAATAGACATGTATGCAATGGGACTGGTATTATGGGAGTTAGTCTCCAGATGTAGAGCAGTTGATGGTAAGAATAAAGATCTCCTCTGCCCCGGGGAATGGCTTTGTTTCAGCACGGTTTGCTGGCCCACAGAACGGCCTGGCTCTGTTCAAAATAAATTAAAAATCAATGCCATGTTTTCATTAGACAGCTAAGTTGTTTTTCATTTGCTTGTTTCTTAATGTAAGCTGTTATTCTCTGTGGTTAAGAATCTTTTGTGATGTTCAAGTCTCAAAGTGCTTCTTTTAATACCATGCTGTTCCCTTTCTCAGGGTTTTTATCCTAAAATGATGCTGCAAAATGGGATTTATTTTCTGTCCGAGTAGCACATTGGTTCTCTGGTGCATCCTTGCCATTTGCAGGACCTTGTTCTTTGTCAGGGAAGCTGCAACTCCTTGTGACAATATGGGTGCTCCACGCTGAATATCAAGCTCATGAATTAATAGTACCTTACCTGGACTTTAAACATGAATGTTAATATTGTAATAGCACTAAGGTCCTTGTTTATAATCAGGATGTGTACCTAGGTATGTGTTTTTTCAAAAAGTTATTGTGGATCATATAAAATACCAGAGGAGCAGGGATGAAGGGGAGTTAAGCTTAACCTCACAAACTCTTTTAATTCAGAAGTGATACTGTGCAAATTGCATCACTTCACTGTGCAGGTCTGTTGCATCGTTATGGTCAGAATTGTGTCTGCTGGCTTCAGTGACAAATAGTCCCTGTCTTGCAGTGAGTGTGATTTCTGAAACAGTGTTGTCAATTCCTTTTGTTAGGATAGGTTGTGAGTGTGTGTGACTAACAGCAGGTTTGTCTTGGTGATCACTAGCACAACTTGTTATAGCTTTGATTCCTCTTTGAAGATGAGGAATGGAAGGTCACAAACATTATTGTGTTGTCTGTTGGAACAAGCATTTCAGTTTGTTTCGCTGACGGGCATCGCGTCAACAGGAACTATGATAAGATATTTTAGTGATTGGCGTTTTTGTTGTTGACTTGTCTGTTTGTTTGCTTGTTTTAAGTACCTAAACATAATTTTCTAGGTGTCCCAGTTCGTGACCAGCTAAGGTGGTTGGCTCTTTGATTTTAGTCTGGGAAAGCCCTCTCGAATTATCTTTGCTATTGAAAGAGATCACTCTTTGCTTCTGGGAAACCATAAGTAATGCAACCAAGCATCCTGAGAAAGTTCATCAGTTAAGCTGGGCTGTGCTTTTTGAGAGGGCATCTACACATTGCCAAAGGCCAAATGACGTTTAGATGAGCAGAAGTTATTGCTGCAGTCTGGAGTCTGCTCTGACACTTCATAACAGTTCTCTCATTCTCTTGGCCCAGAGCATTTCACAGCCATAACTGGTAGAACTAAAGCATTCCGAAATCATTTTGCACTTTGGAGCTAGCACCTGGGACAAGTGCTTCTGGCTCTACCTGGTCAGAGCTGACTTTAAGAACAAGCCAGGTCAAAAAAGGGATTGCAAGTGCTGTGTATGCTTGACCTTGCTACTCAGTGCCTAAAGTGAAATTATGCTCATGCTGAAACCTTTCTCTAGGTTGTTTTGCTGCGATGGGTTGAGGAGCCATGTCTTGTGCATGGGGAGGGTGCAGCTCTGCAGAGGCTGTGGCTCCACACAGGCCGTTTCTGTACTAACCTAATTCTCCACATGCACTGTAGGTCCAGTGGATGAATACATGCTGCCTTTTGAAGAAGAAATAGGTCAGCACCCATCCCTCGAGGACCTGCAAGAAGTGGTCGTTCACAAGAAGATGCGCCCCATCTTCAAGGATCATTGGCTGAAACACCCTGTATGTCCCCCTTGGTCGATGGGCAAATGTTTTTTCCTGCATGATGGGAATGAGAGATGTGGTTATGTGTTAGCTTCAAAGGGAAAAAATGCAGGAAAATGGTGTTCTGGGAATCTGGTAGCCTCGAGGCACAAACTAAACTGCAGGTGAACCTTCATGTCCTCACCACTGCCTGGTACTGTCCTAGCACAACCTTTGGCAGAGAACGCTTCCCCTTTCCCTTTGTTCCTTTTTGTGTTTAGAGGATAAACCAGCTGATTAAAATCAGCAAATGAACATGGAACGTATCGTGGAGTGTTTGTTTAGCAGGACTCATTTAATATGGTGAAATAATGGAAAGGAAAGTTCCCATTCATTGAGAAAGAGAGAATGGTGCATACCAGCAGAGATGTATTCCTCGCAAGCTAGATAGCATGCAAGACTTGAAGCATTTTTACAGGAAAAATTAATTAGATGTGAAGGCAAACAGACAATGAAATAAAGTGCAGTGTGGGTTTCCCAGAGGTAGATCATTTCAGATGAGCGTTTTTAATAAGCGCGCTGATTTTTTCAGACTGGGAAAGGAGGGAGCAGGTTATGAAATCTCACAGGGCTTCAGTAAGAAGTTAAATGCCTCCATTTGGGCCAAACTGCTGCTGTTTTGGCTGGGTTCAGGTGTACTAATGCATTGCCTGGAAGTTAGGGAGAGCTGCTGAGTGTAAGTAAAGACAAGTGTGGTGGTTTCTGGGTGAGTGGGATTCAAACAGAGCTGTACTCTTCCAGCAACATTCATTGAATCATAGAATCACAGAATGGTTTGGGCTGGAAGGGACCTTTAAGATCATCCAGTACCAACCCTCTGCTATAAGCAGGGACACCTCCTTGTAGACCAGGTTGCTCACAGCCCCATCCAGCTTGAGTGTTTCCAGAGAGGGGATGTCCAGAGTCTCACTGGGCAACCAGTTCAGTGTCTCCCCACCCTTACAGCAAAGAATTTCTTCCTAACATGTACTCTAAGTGTTGTATTCAGTTATTTTGAGGATTGTACAGAAGCGATTGCAAACAAAGCTATCATTTCGTAGTAACTGATACAGTGCTGCCAGCACTGGTGGTTTTATCATGGGAATTGTAACACTTCATATCTTGTCTTCTGAAGCTTTAAATGCTCAATTTCATGATGTACTTTGATGTGGGGAAAAAAAGAACTTTCAGGTCTATGAAAAAAGGCAGATGTGAGCAAAGCCCTCCGTCCTAGAAACTGAAAGTTCAAAAAAAGCTGATAACACACGTGTTGAGAGTGCTTTGTAAAACGAATCTCATGATAGAATCACAGAATCATTTGAATTGGATCTTTAAGGTCCGTCCGGTCCCAACTCGCCCGCCACCAACAGGGAGACCCGCAGCTCCGTGCTCAGAGCGCTGATTTGCGCGTCGTGGGGAGACGAGGTGTTTATCTTTCCTTTCTCTCTCCTCAGGGCTTGGCGCAGCTCTGCGTGACCATCGAAGAGTGCTGGGACCACGACGCAGAGGCTCGGCTCTCGGCAGGCTGCGTCGAGGAGCGCATTGCTCAGATCCGCAAATCCGTCAACGGCACTACCTCGGACTGCCTCGTCTCCATCGTGACGTCCGTCACCAACGTGGACTTGCCGCCCAAAGAGTCCAGTATCTAAGTCCTGGTTCGCTTTTGTCTTTCCAGACTCAGTGGATTTGAAAAAAGTTTAAAAAAAAAAAAAAAAAAAAAGAAAACACACGAAGAAAGAAAAAAAAAATACCATAAAAATCCAACAAACACGTGAATGCAGCTGCTATTTTATCTTGACTTTTTATTATTATTGTTATTATTATTATTATTATTTTTTTTGGATTGGATCAATTTTACCAGCACATTGCTCTACTGTATTAACAAATGGACATTTCAGCAAGCATTCAGGTGCCGACTAATGAATGCAGAAAAGGTGCAGGTACCTCAGAACCTCAACAAACTCACTTCAGTTGTTTCGTTGTTGTTGTTGTTGTTTTTTAAATTGAGTTTTCTGGGTTTCTCTTTATCAGTCTGTCTTCTGAGCAGAACATCTGTGACATAAAGGAAAACCACCTATCATCTTAGAAAACGCAATGCTGCAAACTTTGGAGGAAACTTAAGACTGTTACATAAGATTACACCTTCCTCAAAAGGATTTTTTCCCCATTTTGTTTCGTTCCTGGGTTCTGTTCCGTGTTGGGTTATTTTATTTGGAAGTGAGCTTCAAAAAAAAAAAAAACAAAAACAAAAAACAAACAAAAAAAAAACACAGCAGATGTGTCTTTTACGGATCTAACGGGTGTCATTGTAACATGAAAAAAAGTAACTGGGCGGAGAATGTTAATTCTTGGTGGTAGAATTGAAGGGGGGAGCGTAGAATGGGGGTGGGGAGAGCGACGTTGGACTTGGCAGCATTTGGGGAAACATCATTTGCTATGGAGCTACTTCTCAGGTAACCATTAGAGGAGGGGAAGGACATTTCTGGGCAGAGTATTAACAGCTGCAGTGTGTGGAGAAAGCAGAATTAAAGAGCCAGTGGTTTCAAGCAAGGCACTGGTTAGTTCTTCCTCCAGTATCTGGCTCTTGGGTGGTAAGAGAACAAAGCAGAACTGTAATTACCTTCTATTTTTCAAATCTGGATAGTAACAGGAAGATTGCTTTTTAAGAAGTGTAATTGGAAGAGGTGGGAAAATGTGTTCTTAGAAGAAAATACTGGAAGATAAGAAGATGTTTGCATCTCTCTTAAAGTGTGAGTCAGTGCAAGAAATGTTGCCCTCGGGTTTGATTATCTGCCAGCCCAGCCACTGGCACAGATGGTGCAGGGCGGAGAAGTGTGAACGCTGGCTCTGTAATTTTTCTTTGTTCTTTAATTTGGGGTTGTAGGGAGGTGGAAATTACCTGAACCAGTGGCAGATGGCTCCTGTAGCACCCGAGAAGCCCATGAGTTGTACAGTTACAGACTGCAGAGGTAGCTGAGCAGCAGCAGTGATCCTCAGCATCCCTCAGCCTGGTTTCTTTGACGCTGCTTTCTCCGTACTCTGCGACTAAACTCTTTTCGTCTTAAAGTGGTGCATATTCTGAAATACCATTACTCTTATTATGCCATAAACTTGCTCTAGTCAGTGAATGTTCCTAATGCTGCTGATTCAACATTGAGATATTTTTTTAATTTGCAAAAACATGCAATGTTTAAAAAAAGGAAAAAGAAAAAAAAAAATAAGAACACAAAACACACACATACACACGTTACGTGGCTTCCGAGGCTTAAACTGAAAAAAAAAAAGAATTAAAAACTTCATGACCACAGACCACCTCAAACCAGAAATACCTCAGAATTTTCTACTTGTATGAGTTTTATTATATATTTTGTTAGTTGTGTTGTCTTGTAGTAAGTATATTTTAATGTAAGTTGGCTTTTATGACAAGGGAGTTTTAAAAAAAGAAAAAAAAGAAAAAAAGTTCCAAAATCTTTTAGGAAGTGCTACCGTTGTTTTTATTTTGTTGTCGTCGTTGTTGTTTGTTTTATAAAGCACCATTGTAAATAACTATACAGTTGTAGAATAACTGCCTGTATAAGGTACCTGGGCATTATTCACACTTATTTGTGAAGGCTGTTTCCATTCTGTGTTTTGTTTTCATTCTTGTCTGTTTTAGCGAAAGGACAGTACATCTTTTTCTTTTTTCTTTTTTTAGTGTTATTTTGTTTCATTTTTTGATCTTTGAATCTAACATGAATTCTATGTCTTGCTAGACTGACAAAGTTAAATCCATTGGATGGCCAGAACATTCAGATTTCTCCTTCTATTAAGCCAAAATGCAGTCCTGAGCTAATCATCCTTTGAGAAGGAAAAAAAACAAACAGAAAAATCAAAAGTCTGTACATGAATTGGACTTCTTGTCGCTGCCAAGCTGTCAGCGTGGACCCTTGCACAAATGGAATTTATTAAGCAAACAAAAATCACTAATTGGAGAAAATGTGGAGACAATATAGAGTAAATTGAAATATATCTCTTAAAAAAATATATATATAGCTTTAAAACCTAGAGATCACAAATGAGGACGCGGTCCTTTCTCTTGAAGAGACATTAAGATAGTTGCCTTAATTTGTCTATCTGAATAAAGTCTTAACCTATTCTTTCAAGTTATTGAATGTATATTGCATATTAGTGTGTACACACATGTAACTGTATTTCTGTGTGTAGGTTTGGAAGTTTCTGTTTCTTAATGTGATTCTGTTCAGAACACAGTGACAAAAGCAGACAGGATGGTACTGGTTGGGCTCAGATGATGGTGCTGGAGGGGCTGATGTCTTCGAGCTGATGCTGCAGCCTTGCCCATGCTGAACATGAAGTGTGTAGGGAGCTCTTCTGGTGTTGTGACATAAGTCCCCTGCTTCATGTTAAGCACGGTCATAAACGTTTGCAAGGATCAGCATTTTTCACATTCTAATACATTTCTGCACTGAGATTTATATAAAAATGTGACTATGTTTTAGAAGTGAAGTGATGTAAGGGTGGGGTGGAGGCTAGAACGGAATTAATGCTGAGCGAATGCTTGTTTCGAGGTGGGCGTGCTCTGTGTTCCCCAGGAATGGGAGCTGGCTCACATTGCTGCAGAAAGAAAAAAGCTGTACTGTCTTTTAACTATCAGTATCTGTTTGCTGTTCTGGATTTTTTTTCCTTCGGCATTCTGTATAATGGCTAAAACAGGCTTATTACAGCAGTTGCTTTTTTATCGTGATTTCTTTAAGAAGCTTTAAAGTATTTATTGAAAGTGCCATATGATTTTAATAGCCTATTAGACAGTCTCATAAACCTTCTCTTTTGAGAAAGCATGCACAGAAAGTCTCGCGTGTAGCGTATCTGATTGTGGGGAGCTGTGCCAACGTACAAAGCTTGACCGAATGTTGATTGTAAGTGTTCCCAACTTCCCTGGTCTACTGCTTCCTTATAGATCATCTTGTCAACAGGATTCAGCAACTGACTTTTAAGAGAATTTCCAAAACGCACGTGTGCTCAGATAGAAATTTTAAATGCGTGTTGAGTTTTGTGTCTTGCTGCCACAGCAGAGAGGGGTATTCTGAATTTTTGCCTATGTACAAAATCCTGTCAGTTTATCTGAAGTGGTCCTTTCAGTTGGTATTTATTTTATTAATGAAGGAAAGCTCTGATGAACTTACTGGTCTTTCAATACTTGAGCTGTCAAGCAAATAGTTTCCTCACTGCTAACGTAGCATTTGAACTCACAATGACAATACGATCTTGGTTTTGTTCAGTATCATGGAGGCTTTTTCCTAGCCAGCATTGGGCACATCCATTGGTGTAGCTGTAATAAGCAGTCGTGACTCTTTCCCCTTTAACACTCCCATGAACATGATGAGTACAACGTATGTTATAAATTTCACTCCCTCTTCAGATTGTATTGATTTTATAATCAATGTACGATTTTGATGTTGACCTTCTTCTCTCGTGTAGCGGTTTAGGTAAATATTAACCTTGAATATTGCAGGCAGTTCTGTCAATGTTAAAAATTTTCCATGACTTCAGGAGCCAGCATTCCCTTCTCTCTGGTCTAATCATAGAATCATAGAATATAGAATCATGTCTATATAATAGAGGAAATCTAATGACCCTTAAGAACTTACTGCGCTGGCTGTGTTGGTTTCCCGGGTGAAGGAAGCTCACATTTTGAGGTTGGAAATAGCTAAAATTGCATTCTTGAGATGACAGAGCTGTGACTTGCTAATACGGTTGCATTAGTACAGCAAGGTTCATATTGAAATTTATGTGCATGAGAGAAGGCTATAAACCAGTCTAATCATCAGTGCAATGACATCTGCCTTACTCTTCGGTTGAAGGATTTTAGCTAGTCCTGATCGTGGAGTTTTCTCTAGTGAAGACAAAAAGAAAAACGCTTTTTACTTTTGCCTCATTCTTTTGCTGAAATTCTCATACAGCATAAGCTATGTTAGGTCAAGTTACACCTATGGTAATGCCAAGGTCTTTGTGTTTACGTTTGTTTCAAAAAAAAAAAAAAAAAAAAAAAAGGATGTGAGTATCCCCCAGTAACTCCGTTGCATTACTCAGGTCCTTGTGATTTACTGCTGTTTCTGTTGAAGTTATTCATTTCAGCGGGAGCAGCATTGGGACCGCTCAGCAGTGTTGCTGGTGGATACTTCCAGGTTGGCTGGATAGGCCTTTCCCATCAGGAACACTGATCTCCCTTAATATCAACCCATAGAAACTGGAGAGCTCAAATTCTGTTCCTCCTGTGCTGCTTTCTGGGCAGGCTGTCAGGATTTTCCTGTTTTGCAGGTGAAAGATGTGGTTTCACTTAGTATGGAAGAAACTCCTATTGCAGAGGAAGGAGCTGGTTGATAGCATTGTGACAGTGCTGTTGTTGCAGTCCTCTACAAGCCACGCTCCCCTTGAGAAGTATCTAAGCAGGAAGTGTCCCACAAACTATTATCATTTTTACATTCAGAATATTGTTTGGTAACATTGTAAATAAAATAGACTATATAATAGAGGAAAATAAGGACATTTTGACTTTTTTACTTTTGGAAATATATATATATATATATTTTAGTTACATATACAAACAAAAAATTCTACATTGTGTGAGAATTCTTTTATACCACAAATTATTTTTGTAACGTCTACTATGTTTCTGCAGGGAAAAGGGAGAATGGCATGTGTACGCACAGCGAATAAATATATATATATAAAATGTTTAAATTAAATGTGCACTACATCAAA